TTTTTTGTAGTCTTTTTGTAGTTTGTTTTTTCGTTGTCATCATCTTCCTTGTCTTCTCTTCCTTCTTCTTGTTCCTTTGTCTTCTTTCTTCTTGTATTCTTTTCTTCCTCTTCTTCTTTTTTTAAATGTGATTTGGGTGAAAATTTACAGAGCAAATACACTTTCCATTCAGCAATTCACATACACTTTGTCTCATGTTTACCACAGTTTACCATAATGCAATATCTCCCCTCCCACTGCCTCTGAACAATTACCTCTTTCCTGTGTCCACCCATTCCATGCATTACTGCCCCCGAGCTGTCTCCCTGTGCATAAGCAGCTCTTCTTTCTCCCATGCTTATTCTCTCCAAGGAGTGTACCTACCTCAGGCAAATGTTCAACTCATATGCCTGTCCATTGTTTGGCTGGAAGCCACAGGTGTGTTTTTGATTCCAGACCTGAAGGGCAGCTAGGGGCCATAGTCTCAGTGGTTCCACCAGGCTTCATCTGACCAACAAACCTTGTCCCCACCCCCTTTTTTTTATCAAATGATTTTGAGTTTTGTTCCACATTTTTCTCCCTGTCTATCCAGAATCCCTTACATAGATCCTCTTCCAAGGGGTTGACAGTGTAGCCGGGCACTATCTATTTCTTCTGGTCTCATAGTTGTATAGGCTGCAGATCAGAAGATGTACCAGTCGCTAGGATTGTTTCCATGAATTTTTGGTTTTCTTTATTCTTCTTTGCTCTGGATGAGAAGAGACCCATCATTGCATCTAGATGGCAGCTTGCTAGCTTTTAAGATCCCAATCACTACTTGCCACAGTAGGAGGTGGAACAATGATTTGTGTAGTATGTTATACCAGTTGAGCTTGATGCCCTCTGTGACTATGGTCCCAAGCCCACAGGTTCAACTACTCTGTCCCTCTGCATAGCAGGCTGTGGCTGTGACTACAACCTTGCCCCTTGTCAGCTCCATTATACACCTGGGAATTCAGATCATACACATAAAGTTATTGGACCATTGTCTCCCAAACCTATACATGTTCTTGGGTGCACTCCCCACTTCATAGATATAGCTAATAGTTCAGCCTCTCCACCCATCTATCCACCCATATACCCGTGTTTGCCTTCACTGACCATGTCGTACTATATTTGCAAAAGTGTTCATCTTTGTTGTCTGTACTTCCCATGTACCTCTCTATGTCTTTCTCTTCCTCAATGCCACTATATTGATCACTCACAGTTGGTACATTGCCTTTCTCTTCACCCAAATCAAAACTTATCTCTATCCATCTAACTGTATTCTCTACCCTCCCTTCCCATCCCTGGTAACCAACAAAGAAGATGTCCTTCCATATAGAAACATTTCCTTGACTTTTACAATAACAGACTAATACAATGTTTGTCCTGTGATTGACTTACTTCACTCAGCATAATGTCCTCCAAGTTCATCCACATTATGTGGTGTTGTGCAGATTCTACATTATTTTTTAGCATTGCATAGTATTCCATTGTGTGTATGTACCATAGTTTGGATATCCATTCCTCAGTTGATGGACACCTAGGTTGTTTCCATTTTTTGGCTATTGTAAATAGTGCTGTGATGAACATGGGTGTGCATATGTCTGTTCTTGTCATGGCTTTCACTTCTTTAGGATATATACCTAGTAATTGAATAGCTGGGTCAAATGGTATTTCTAGTTCCAATTTTCGAAGGAATCGCCATACTGCTTTTCATAATGGTTGTACCATTTTACAGTCCCAACAATAGTGTATGAGAGTCCCAATCTCTCCACATTCTCACCAGCATTTGCTATTTTCTGTCTTGATGAACTTTGCTACTAGTGCTGGAGCAAGATTGTACCTCATTATTGTTTTGATTTGCATCTGTCTAATAGCTAATGATCATGAGCATTTCCTCATATGTTTCATTCCTTTTTGTATTTGTTCTTCCTCATTTTCTTTTTCATCTTCTTCATATTATTTCATTTGGTCTTGTTCATAGAATTCTTCTTCATTGTCTTCTTTCTTCTTCACTGTCTTCTGCATTGACCTCTTGATATTTTCGTTCATTATCCTTGTATTCGTCATTGTGTTTTTTTCCTTTTCTTCATCTGCTTCTATTTCTTCTTCATTGTTGTTTCTTATTCGCTGTGTTCTTTTTCCTCTTTGTATTCTTATTTTATTTCTTTGTCTTTTTTGACTTAGTCTTCTTTTCCGTCTTGTTGTTCTTCTCCATTGTCTTATTTTTGTAGTGTTTTTGTAGTTTGTTTTTTCAGTGTCATCATCTCCCTTGTCTTCTCTTCCATTTTCTTGTTCCTCTGTCTTCTTCCTTCTTGTATTTTTCTTTTTCTTCCTCTTATTCTTTTGTATTCTTTTCCATCTTCTTGTTCTTTTTATTCTTTGTCTTCTTCTTCCCTGTGATTTTATTATTCCTTGTCTTATTCTCATTTGTCCTCTTCATCTTAATTTTTTTCTCCTTGTTTTTTTGTCTTTTTGGTCATCATTATTTTCTTCTTCATCATGTTTTTCTTTGTCTTCCTCATCTTTTTCTATTTCTTTGTCTTTGCTCTCTTGTTCTTCACTTTGTTCAGTATCATCTTTTTTGTATTCTTCATCTTTTTCTTCTTGTGGTCCTTCATCTTTTTCTACTTTTCCTTTTACTTCTTCATTTTCCTTGATTTGGCTTACTTTGTTGTCTTCTTCATCCTTCTATGTTTTCACCATGATTTTTTTTTTCATTTTCTTCAATGTCATCATCTTCTTTGCCTTCTTCCTTTTCTTTGTCTTCTTTTTATGAATCTTGTTTTTCTTAGTCTTCTTCATCATTGCCTTCCTCTTTGTATTCTTCCTTGTTTTCACCTTCTCTGTTTTCTTCTTTGCCATTGTCTTCTCCTTCCCGTTCCTCTTCTTTTACTTCTTATTGTTCTTGTTTGTTGTTTTCATCATCATCCTCTTCTTTTTCTTGTTCTTCCTCTTGTTTCTTTGTCTTTCTATTATTTTCCTTTGTACATTCATTTTCTTCTTCGTCTTCATCTTCTCTTTTTTGTTCTTGTTCCTCTGACTTCTTCTTCATTGTCATTTTTGTCGTCTTCATATTCTTATTTTACTTATTGTCTTTTCATGTTCTCCTTCATTTGATTACTTTTCTTTTTCTTTTTTTAAACCCTTTTCTTTCATTTTGTCTTCCTTCTTTGTCATCTTCTTGTTCTTACTTGTTTTTCTTTTTCTTCCTGTGCCTCTTCATCTTCTTCATTGTTTTCTTCTCTATCATCTTATACTTTGTCTTTGTGTTCTTTTTCTTCTTCATGGGCTTTTTTTCATCTTCTTAATATTGATTGTCTTCTTTTATGTCTTCCTCTTTTTATTTGTCTTATTTTTTATCTTCATCTTCCTTTTGTTACTGTTTATCTTTTTCTTGTTTTTCATCTTTTTCCATCTTCTTTGTGTTCTTTCTTTTGGTCTTCTTCTTTGTCAATCTTTTTTGTCTTTTTCTGATCCTTTTTTTTGTTGTTGTCTTCATCATCACCTTCTTCTAGAAGTCATCTTCATATTCGTCCTTGTCTTTGTCATCTTTGTCTTTTTTTCTTGTCTTCATCTTGTTTTTCTTTGTCTTTGTCATCATTATCTCTTTCTTCTTTGTCTTCCTTTTTCTTGTTATACTTATTTCTCTTTCTTCATGTTCTTTATCTTCTTCATCATCATCTTCTTGTCTTCATCACCTTTGTCTTTGCCTTATTTTTCTTCAGTTTCTTCCCTATCTCCTTTTTCTTTTTGTCATTATTGCCTCTTTTCTTCTTTAAATCTTCATCATCTCCTTATTGTTCCTCTTCATCATCTACTTTTTAAATTTTTCCAATTTTTTGTCATTTTCATATTTAGTGTGTTTTTTGTTTCTGTCTTGTTTTTCACAGTCTTCATTTTGTTCTCTTTTTCTCTTCTTGTTCTTCTTCTATGTCTTCTTCATATTTTTCTTCTTTTTTGTGTTCATTTCTTTTATCTTCTATTTGTTCTTCATCAATGTTTTCTTCTTCTTGACCTTCTTCTTTGTATTTTTTGACTTATTTTCTTTAACTTTGTCTTCTTTTTCCTCTCCATTGTATTCGCCTTTGTATTCATAAACTTTTTCTTGTTTACCTTTTTCATTGTCATTTTTTTCTTTTATTTCTTTTCATATTCTTCTTTCTCTTGTTTCTCTTTTTCTTTGTCTTCGTATTCTTCTTCTATTGTACTCTATCCTTCTTCTTTTACACAAACAAGGAAGAAGAAAAGTTTGTTTTTTTCTTTCTTATTTCCTACCTTTGTATTTCTCCTGTTCTTTTTCTGTCTTCTATTTGTTGATCTTCTCCTTCTTTTTTTATCTTCTTGTCATCATCAGTTTGTCCATCATTTCGTTTTTATTTTCCTCTTTTTCTATTTTGAGTATTCTCTGATTCTTTTTCTCTTTGTAATATTTTTTTGTATCATCTTCTTTCTCTTTTTATTCTTCATCCTTGTCTACTTTTTTGTGTTCATCTTTTTTCTTTTTGTCTTCTTTTCCTTTTTCATTCTATTTGCACTTCATCATTTTCTTCTTCTTTGCCTTTTCCTTCATCTTTGACTTTGTTTTCTTCTGCTTATTCTTTGTCATTATTTCATCGCCATCTCATTCTTTTTCTTGTCCTCCATCTTCATCTCATTTTTTTTCTTCTTATTCATCATATTCTTCTGTAATCTTTCTCTTCATCTTTTTTCTTCATCTTCTTTTATCTTTCACTTCAGTGTCTTTTTCTTTTCTTTGTCTTGGTGTTCTTTGCCTATTTCTTCTTTCTTTTCATCTTCTTTTTCTTCATCTTCTTTGATTTGGTCTTAATCGCCATCTTCAACTTCTTTTTCTTCATTCTGTTCTTTTTTCTTCCTTTCTTCATTGTTGTCTTTGTCTTCTTTTTATTTTTCTTGTTTTTCACCATCATTTTCCTCTTTCTATTCTTCTTCCATGTTTTCTCCTTCTCTGTCTTCTTGATTGTCTTCTCTTTCACCTTCCTCTTCCTTTTTTTCTACTTTTTATGGTTCTTTCTATTCTTCTTTGTCTTCACTGTCATCTTCAACTTTGTCTTTTTGTTTTTCTTGCTCTTTTTTGGCATCTTTTCTTCTTTATGTTCATTGTTTTCTTCTGGTTTTTCTCCTTTACCTTCTTGATCTTTTTGTATTGTTTTTCTTCTTTGTCTTTTTCATTGTTGTGTTCTTTATTATCTTCTTTTTATCATATTTCTTTGTCTTCTTTTTTTTAATCTTCAAATCCTACATTTTCTTCTTGTTCTTTTCATTTTTTCCTGAATTTTCTTTTTCTTCCTTGTCCTCACCTTGCTCTTTTTCTTCTTGTTGATTTTGTCTCCTGTTGTCTTTTCCTTCATTGTCATCTTCTTGTTCTTCCTTGTTTTTCTTTTTCTTCTTGTGCTTCTTTATCTCCATTAATTTCTTCTTTCTATTCTTTGTCTTCTTATTCTTCTTGATTTTCATCTTCTTTTTTAAAATAAACCTTGTTTGTCTTCTTTTTCTATTCATCTTCTTTGTCCTTCATCATATTCTCTGTGTTATTCTTTTTCTTCATCTTCCCTTTTGTCTTCTACTTTCTGTTCTTGGTTTTGTTCTTTGATGAGTTATTTTTCTTTTTTGCATAGTTTTTACTGTCATCTTCATAATAGCTTACTTTGTATGCGTCTTCATAATCTTCTTCCTTGTTTTTGTCATCTTCTTTGTAATATTCTTTCTTTTCTCTTCTTTGTTATCATCTTTTTCTTCTTGTTTTTGCCCATCTTCCTTCATCCTTTTACTCTTCTAATTCTTCATTTCATCTTCTTTTTCTTCTTCATGTTCTTCTTTGTCATCTTCCTTTCCTTGGTCTTAAAATTTTTCTTGTTCTTTGTCTTTTTGTTTTCATTTCTTCTTTTTCTTCTACTTGTTCTTTATCTTCATCATCTTTTTTATTCTTTTTCATCTTCATCTTGTTTTTCTCCATTTTTGTCTTTGCAATCCTTTCCTCCTTCATTATCTTATTTGTTATCTTCATCTTCTTTCTTTTTCTTGTTCCTTGGTCTTCTTTTTTTGACCTTTTTTTCCTCCTTGTATACTCATTCCTTGTCCTCTTCATTACATTTTTCTACTTTGTCTTCTTGTGCTTCTAGCTCTTCTTTGTCACCTTTTCCTTTTTTATCTTCTTTCTCTTCTCTTTTTCATCTTCATCATTTTCTTGTCATCTTCTTTATCTTCTTATTGTTCTTTTCCACCATCTTCCTTTTATCTTCTTCTCCTCCATTATCTCTTTGGTTTGTTTTTCTTCATTGTCTTTTCTGTCTTTCTTTCTTCTGTATATTCTTTCATTGTCATCAACTTCTTCTTTGTCTTCTTCCTTTTCTTCATTTTCTTTTTTATTGTTCTCAATGTTCTTTGTCTTCCACATCATCATCTTCCTCTTCTTATTCTTCCTCACTTTTGGTTTCTCTGTTATCTTCTTATTCTTTGTCTACTCTTTCATCTTCCTCATCTTTTTCTTCTTCATCATCTTTTAGGTCATTTTCTTAGTCTTCATCTTTGTTGTCTTCTTTGTCTCTGTATACTTTTTCTTCTTTCTCTTTCTCATTGTGTTCTTCTTTGTGTCCTTATTTGTCTTTTTTATATTAACCTCTTTTTTCTAGTTCCTCTGTTTACTTCTTTGTCTTCATATTGTTCTTGTTCTTTCATTTTGTTCATCTATTTTGTATTCTTTTTCTTCCTTGTTTTTGTACTCTTCTTCTTCATCATCTTCTTCTTTGTCCTATTCATATTTATGTTGTTCTCTTCTTGTTTCTCTTTGTCCTCATCTACTTATTTGTCTTAGATTTCATCATCTTCTTTGTTTACTTATAGTTCTTCTTCTTTGTCATTTTCTTCCTTGCCTTTTTCATCAACTTTTTCTCCTTGTTCTTTTTCTTCTTTGTCATTAACTCCTTCTTTGTGACTACTTCATCCTCATTTTCATATGTTCTTTCTTCTTTTTCACCTGTGAATTCTTCTTTGTCCACTCCTTCTTTCTCTTATCTTTTTTTTCTTCTTCCTCTCCATCATCATTTCCTTTTTCTTATTCATCATCTTCTTAGTCTTGTTTTTCTACTTCTTGTTCTTTTTTCTTCTATGTCATCTCCTCTAGTCTTCTTTTTCTTCATCTTTTTCCCCTTTTCTGCTTTTGTCTTCTTCGTTGATTTAGTCCTTGTCTTTGTTTTTTTTTTCCTTCTTTGTCTTTACATGTTCTTTTCCCCACCACTCATCTGTCAGTTTATTGTACTGTGGAAGCTTGTGTGTCTCTGTGAGGCTTGATGCTATGTCACTGGCATTTCAAATACCAACAGGGTCACCCATGATGGACAAGTTCCAGTGGAGCTTCTAGACTAAGACAGACTCAAAAGAAGGAAAGGGCCATCCACTTTTTATGAATTGACCAGTGAAAACCTTATGAATAGCAGTGAAACACTGTCTATTAATGGAAACTTTATGAATAGCCCTGAAACATTGTTTGATACAGTGCCAGAAGATGAGCCAAACGGGTCAGAAGGCACTCAAAATACCACTGGGAAAGAGCTGCCTCCTCAGAGTAGAGCTGACCTTAATGATGTGGGTAGACTAAAGCTTTCAGGACCTCCACATGCTGATGTGGCATGATTCAAAATGGGAAGAAACAGCTACAAACATCCATTAACACATAGAACATGGAATGTATGAAGTATGAATAGGAACATTGGAAGTTGTCAAAAATGAAATGGAATGCATAAAGATTGATATCCTAGGCATTAGTGAGCTGAAATGGACTGGTTTTGGCCATTTTGAATCAGACAAGCATGTGATCTACTATGCCGAGATGACAAATTAAAGAGGAATGGTGTGGCATTCATCATTACAGAGAATATTTCAAGATCTATCCTGAAGTACAATGCTGTCAGTGATAGGATAATATCCATATACATACAAAGAAGACCAGTTAATTCTATTAAAATTTATGCACCAATCACCAAAGCCAAAGATGAGGAAATTGAAGATTTTTAGCAACTTCTGCAGCCTGAAATTGACCAAACATGCAATCAAGATGTGTTGATTATTACTGGTAATTGGAATGCAAAAGTTGGAAGCAAAGAAGAATCATTGGTATTTGGAAAATGTGGTCTTGGTCATAAAATAATGCTGGATATCACATCATATAATTTTACAAGACCAAAGACTTATTTATTGCAAGGACCTTTTTTCAAGAACACATACAATGGCTATACACATGGGATTTGCAAGTTGGAGTACACCGGGATCAGATTGACTACATCTGTGGAAAGAGGTAATGGAGAAGCTCAATATCTTCAGCCAAAACAAGGCCAGGAACTGGCTGTGGAACAGACCATTAGTTGTTCATATACAAGTACAAGTTGAAGCTGAAGAATATTAAAACAAGTCCATGAGAGCCAAAATATGACCTTGATTGTAACCCTCCTGAATTTAGAGACCATATAAATAATTGATTTGATGCATTGAACACCAATGACTGAAAACCAGAGGAATTGTGGGATGACATCAAGAACATCATCCATGAAGAAAGCAAAAGGTCATGAAAGAGATAGGAAAGGAAGAAGAAACCTAGATGGATGTCAGAAGAAACTCTGAAACTTGCCCTTGAGCAGAGAGTAGCTAAAACAAATGGAAGAAATGACAAGATAAAAGAGTTGAACAGAAGATTTCAAAGAGCAGCTTGGGAAGACAAAGTCAATTATTATTCTGAAATGTGCAAAGACCTGGAGTTAGAAAACTGAAAAGGAAGACCACCTTTGGCATTTCTCAAGCTGAAAGAACTGAAGAAAAAAATTCAAGTCTTGAGTTGCAATATTAAGAGTCTATGGGCAAAATATTAAATGATGCAGGAAACATCAAAAGAAGATGGAAGGAATACACAGAGTTACTGTACCAAAAAGAGAATTGGTCTACATTCATTCATTTCAGGAGGTGGCATATGATCAAGAACCCATTGTATCAAAGGAAGAAGTTGAAGCTGCACTGAAAGAACTTGTAAAGAACAAGGGTCCGGAATTGACAGAATACCCATTGAGATGTTTCAACAAATTGGTGTTGCACTAGAGGCACTCACTCGTCTATGCCAAGAGATTTGGAAGATAGCTACATTGCTGACTGACTGGAAGAGATCCATATCTATAGCCATTCCAAAGAAAGGTGATCCTACAGAATGTGGAAATTATCAAACAATATCATTAATATTGCACACAATCAAAATCTTATTGAAGATAATTCAAAAACGTTTGCAACAGTATATTGACATAGAACTTCCAGAACTGCAAGCTGGATTCAGAAGAGGATGTGGAATGAGGGAGGGATATCATTGCTGATGCCAGATGGACGTTGGCTCAAAGCAAAGAATACCAGAAAGATATTTACTTGTGTTTCATTGGCAATGCAAAAGAATTTGATTGTGTGAATCATAACAAATTTTGGATACCAATGAGAAGAACAGGAATTCGAAAACAATTGTACTCATGAGGAACTTGTACATAGACCAGGAGGCTGTCATTCAAACAGAACAAGGGGACACTGCATGGTTTTAAATCAAGAAGAGAGTGTGTCAGGGTTGTACCCTTTCACCATACTTATTCAATTTGTATGCTGAGCAAATAATCTGAGAAGGTGGGTTATGTGAAGAACGACAAGGCATCAGGATTGGAGGAAGATTCATTAACAATCTATGATATGCTGATGACACAACTTTGCTTGCTGAAAGTGAGGATTACTTGAAACACTTGCTGATGAAGATAGAAGGTTGAAGTTTACCAGTAGCATTTATTAAAGAGATTATCTCTTCTGCATTTAATGGCTTTCAGCCTTTTTTTCCCCCCCAAAAACCAGCTGCCAATAGTTTCAAAGACCTATTTCTGGGTTCTTAATTCTGTTCTGCAGGTCTACATGTCTGTTGTTGTAGGCTGTTTTGACTACCATGGCTGTTTTGACTACAAGGCTATTTTGACTACCATGGCTGTAAAATAGGTTTTGAAATTGAGGAGTGTGAGATCTCCTACTTTGTTCTTCTTCAGTTGTTGTTGTTGTTGTTATGTGCCATTGAGTCAGACCCAATTCATAGCGACCCCTCCTTGGGTTCCTGAGGCAGTATCACTACAGAAGTAGATTGCCCCATCTTCCTTCCCAGGAGTGGCTGGTGGGTTTGAACCGCCAGGCTTCTGGTTAGCAGTCAAGTGCCTTAAGCACTATGCCACCAGAGCTCCCTCTTTTTCAGTAGTGCTTTGTTTATCCGAGATCTTCTTCTTTTCCATATAACATTAGTAATTGTTTTTTTCATGTCCTTAAAGAATGTTTATGAAATCTGAATTAGGACTGCATTGAATCTGTAGATGGCTTTGGGTAGTATTGATGTTTTCACAATGTGCAGTCTTTGTATCCATCAGCATGGTATGTTCTTCCATTTATGTAGGTCTCTGATTGTTTCTTGTAGTAGTATTTTGTAGTTTTCCTTGTATGGGTCTTTTGTGTCCCCAGTAAGATTTATTCCTAAGTATTTAACCAAAAAGGTAACTATTGTAAATGGTATTGTTTTCCTTCTTCTGAAAAAACCAAACTCACTGCTGTCAAGTTGATTTGACTCATAACGACCTCTCCTTGGGTTTCGGGGGCAGTATGTCTACAGAAATAGATTGTTTCTTCAGAGGAATGGCTGGTGGGTTTGAACCGCCAGCCTTTTGGTTAGCAGTCAAATGTCTTAGGCCTTTCTTAGAGAGCTCTTTATTGATGTAAAGGATCAGCTGATTTTTGTATGTTGATCTCGTATGTCACTCTGCTGAATCTTTCAATTAGTTCCAGTAGTTTTTTTACTTAGTGTCTTGGGCTTTCTATGTATAGAATCATATCATCTGCAAACATAGTTTTAATAATTCTTTGCCAATTTGGATGCTTTTTATTTCCCTT